ACGTTTAATGCATTAAATGCCAAATATTTATTACTTTTGTGAGGTCTTTTTTACAGGTGAGTTGAGGTTTTTATGCACATATTCAAAATGTTATTTTTGTAATTAAGTGGAGTCTTCAGTGGTTAGAGCACTGGCCTTGTAAGGGAGAGGACCTGGGTTTGATTCCAGGGCAGGGTGAAACATCGGGAAAGTTTGCTTACTTCACACACTTCTGTTTACCTACAACAACAACAACAACAACAAGATTCCATTTATAAAGCGCCTTTCACGTCGGGAGGACGTCCCAAGGCGCTGCACAGTTGGGTCATGACCGGAGCAGGGGGGAAATGGTCAGGGTGAGGGGAGGGAAGGGAGGGAGCAAGGAGGGGGGAAATGGTCAGGGTGAGGGGAGGGAAGGGAGGGAGCGAGGAGGGGGTAGAGAGTCGAGAGGGGAGCTGAAGGCACGGTCAAAGAGAAAGGTCTTGAGACCGGCCTTGAAGGAGGAAAGGGAGGAAGCGGCGAAGGCACTGGGGGATAGAGTTCCAGAGCCTCGGGGCTGAGAGGCTGAAGGCCCGACCACCGATGGTAGGGCGGTTGGGGCGGGGGACGTGGAGCAGACCGGAGCCAGAGGAACGGAGGGTACGGGCAGGTAGGTAGGGGGATAGTAGGTTGGAGAGGTAGGAGGGAGCAAGGCCGTGAATGGCCTTGTAGGTGAGGATGAGGATCTTGAAATCAATCCTCTGGGGGATGGGGAGCCAGTGGAGGCGAGCGAGGGTGGGAGTGATGTGGTCGCGAAGCCTGGTGCGGGACAGTACACGAGCTGCAGAGTTCTGAATGACCTGCAGCTTGTGGAGGGAGGTGGCGGGAAGGCCGGCGAGGAGAGAGTTCCCATAGTCCAGCCTTGAGGTGACAAAGGCGTGGACCAGGGTTTCAGCAGCGTGAGGGGTGAGGTAGTGCCGTAGTCTGGCGATGTTCCGGAGGTGATGGAAGGCGGTGCCAGTTGTGGTGCGGATGTGAGGGAGAAAGGACAGCTCAGGGTCGAACAAAACGCCGAGGTTCCTGACTGGCTTTGAGAGGTGGAGAGTGCAGCCTTGGATGCTGATGGTGTCAGCGCCTGAGGTGCGGAGGCGCTGACGTGAGCCAATCAGGAGGGCCTCGGTTTTTCGCACGTTGAGCTGAAGAAAGTTGTCTCTCGTCCAGGACTCGATGTCGGACAGGCAGGCTGTCAGGACATCGGTGGTCGTGGAGTTGAGAGTAGAGGAGGAAAGGTAGAGTTGGGTGTCATCCGCATACATGTGGAAGTTAACTCCATGTCTGCGGATGATGTCACCGAGGGGGAGCATATAGAGGGTGAAGAGGAGGGGACCGAGGACAGAGCCCTGAGGGACACCACATGAGACAGTACGGGGGGTGGAGGAGAAGCCATTCGTTGAGACAAAGTGAAGACGGTGAGAAAGGTACGACCTAAACCATTCAAGGACAGTGCCTTGAAGGTTGAGGTGGGAGGACAAGCGGTGGAGTAGGATAGCGTGGTCGACCGTATCGAATGCTGCCGATAGGTCGAGGAGGACGAGGAGACAGAGGGAGCCCTGGTCACAGATGGTCAGGATATCATTGGTGACCTTGACCAGGGCAGTTTCTGTGCTATGGGCAGCACGGAAACCTGACTGAAGGGGTTCAAAAAGAGAATGGGTGGAAAGGAAAGAGCGCAGTTGGGAGGCGACAACTCTTTCCAAGACCTTGGAGAGAAAGGGGAGGTTGGAGATGGGCCGGTAGCTTGATAGCTGCGACGCATCAAGGGAGGGTTTTTTCAGGGTGGGCGTGATGATGGCAGTTTTTAATGGAATGGGGACAGAGCCAGAGGAGAGGGACAGGTTGATGATGTCAGTGATATGTGGGGCAAGAAAGTGGAGCTGGGAGATAAGGAGTGGAGTGGGGATGGGGTCAAGGGAGCAGGTGGTTGGTTTTAGGGATAGGATGAGTTCAGTGACAGAGGGTGGGGAAACGGGTACGAAGGTGTGTAGGGGAGGATGGGTAGGAGTCGGAGTGTGGGAGGGAAGGGGTGGGTGGTGGGTGGAAGTTGGAGGGGAAGTGACCGCGGAGCGGATTCCCTTGATCTTGGATTCAAGGAAATCCAGCATCTCCTCGCAGTGAAGGTTGGAGGAGCTGACCTGCGCGGGGTGGCGGGGGGACGGAGGAGTCGGGTTGTGGTGGAAAACAGTAGCCTGGGGTTGTTCTTCGCCTCCAGGATTATCCTGGAGTAGAAGGACGACTTGGCCGAGGCTAGAGTGGAGCGGTAAATTTTGAGGAGGTCCAGCCAGATTTGTCGGTGGACCGTTAGGCCAGATTTGACACAGGTGCGTTCAGCAGCCCGCACCTGGCTTTTCAGTGAGCGGAGGTGGGTGGTGTACCAGGGGGAGGAGCGGGAGTAGGAGACAGTGCGGGAAGTGATGGGGGCAAGAGTATCGAGTGTGGAGGAGAGGGTATTGTGGAGGAGGGAGAGAGGAGAAGAGGGGTCGGTGAGGGTTGAAGGCCAGAGGGAGAGGAGTTCAGAGGACTCCAAGGCATCGGTTAGGGATTGTGGGGGTAACTTCTTCCAAGGGCGGTAGAAGATGGTGGTGGGTCTGGTGGAGGTGGGGAGGGGGGTGGAGGTGGTGAAGGAGATGAAGTAGTGGTCAGAGATGGCCTTGTCGGTAATAGTGACATCCGAGACACTGAGGCCCCGGGTGATCACCAAATCGAGTGGGTGGCCGTGACTGTGAGTGGGGGAGTTTATGTGTAAGGAGAGGTTGAGTGAGGAGAGCAGGGAAGAGAAGTCTGTGGAGATGGAGCAGGAGGGGGTGAAGTGTAGGTTAAAGTCGCCCAGGATGATGAGGCGATCAGAGCAGAGGCAAAGAGATGTGAGGAGTGTTGAAATGTCAGAGATGAAGGTGGGAGAGGTTTTAGGGGGCCGGTAGAGGAGGAGGATTTTAAGGGAGAGGAATGAGGGGTGGGAGAGGGTGAGGTGCTCAAAGGAGGGGAAAGAGCCAGAGGAGTAGGGGGATAGGGCAAGTGGTGTCCTTGAGATAAGGGCAACACCACCGCCACGGCGGTTGGGGCGGGGGATGTGGTGGGAGGTGTAGCCGGGTGGCGTGGCCTCCGTGAGGGGGAAGGTGTCGCCTGGGGTGAGCCAGGTTTCTGTTAAGGCCATGATATCAACGTTCTCATCAAGGATGAGATCGTTGATGACCAGGGCCTTGTTGCAGAGGGAGCGGACATTTTGCAGTCCGATGTGGAGGGAGCGGTTGACAGAAGGGTGTGTGGGAGGGGAGGGGGTCCAGGTTGTGAGGCAGGGGTGGGGGAATGGGGATGAGGGAGGAGAGGTTGACTCCCCGGGTCTGTGTCCGGGGTGGGTGGCGAGTGTGGTGGGGAATGGGGCAGTCGGTGTGGCTGCTGCTGGACAGCCAACGCCGAGTGCCACGGTGAGCCCGGCGGAGGATTCCCAGACTGGAACAGAGGGAGGTTGTGGGAGGGTCAAGTGGGGATAGAAGACGAGAGGGACGGAGAGAGAGGAGGAGAGAGCGGGAGAGATGCAGAGGGGGGAGGGTTTGGGGGGAGAGAGGAGGGGGAGGGAGGGAGGGGGTGAGGGGGCTCGGGTCAAAGCGGCAGCCATAGTGCGCACGCGGGGACCGGGAGCGAGCGGTCAGGTGGATGGCATTATCCCGTAGATTGGGGCAGCGAACGCAACAGGACCATAGTGGGCTCTGATGTGAGCCCTGGGGGGGGGAGGGGGGGGGCGCGGAGGTTTTTTTTTTGTTGTTTTTTTTTTACCTAGAAGTAAGTAGGAACCCAGTTGTTAGTCGATTGGCGGATCGCTTTTCCAAGGGTAATAATCCCTTCAAATATATAATAATAACAATAATTTGGTCACTCAATCTACGACTGTTTGTGGGACACTGCTGTGTACAATTGGCTGCCACATTTCGCCCACAAAATATACAGTCAATTCACTTTACTATATATTCTGTGAAGCGCTTTGAGATATCTCGAAGATGTGATAAGGCGCTATATCAAATACAAGGATTATTATAATTAACAGAATGCTGAATCTGTATTCTAATTCATGTTTTTTATTGTTTTCCAAATATTGCCATCTTTTTAACCTGCTCTGGCTAGTTTGTAACTTTATTTAATCTTGCGTTACTTCCTTTCTGCTCTTTGTTAAATTGAAAATTTGTTTTTTACCTCAAAATAATTAACGCTCAGAGCATCCCAAAAAAGTCAAAAGTCAAATAGGATAGCATCCGGGTTAATCGGATTATCTGATGGTCTATTCCACATATTTAATACACTGATGGAAAAGTCTTTATTATCTCTAGTCTTTTGTGAGGTTGTTGAATATTTACACAGATTCTCTTCCATACGATGGTAGGTTAAGGTCAATGTACTTGGTGAAATTGAACTTTAGGTGGTCCAGCTCTATACTGCTCTTTATTCTCTGTGCAAAACGGTTCTAGGGTATTAATACAATATAATAATAAATGCTTTTCACCTCGGGAGGATGTGAAATGGACTTTGGAATTATTATTGCCATTACATCAAATTGTAGTGCTAATATTTTATTCTCTTTTTGTAATTTTTACCAATGGTTACCCAAGATCATAGGTCAGTTTGCGTGAAGAAGGCCATTCAATCCATTTGCTCTGCTAGTTTATCTCCCCCAGGAGATTGAATAATTCAAGGGGAATTCAAATTAGTTCAGGTTAAATGTTTTCTTCCCCATTCCATGCATATATGTATTTCAACACCAGGCTACAAATTAATTGTTTATTATTTTTTGCTTAAAGGTTTTATCTGCCTTTTTTTTCTTTCCTTTAAATCCATAATTCCACCAGAGAAGGTATTCATACATGGATTTTTACCCATGTTAAAAATAATTTGTATTTTTAGAGATCTCTATCTCTATCAATAATCCCTGCGTGTGACGTAGTGCCGAGGTTGTTAATTACAAACAAACCATTCATTTAACATCTTTATTACAGGTGCTGTGGCAGTCACATGGGCTGACAGAGTGATTCTAGCCTTTTCCTGGATTATTCCTCTGTCTGTCGCCATCTCAACCTTTGGATCGATCAACAGCACCGTATTCGTACAAGGCCGGTTGAACTTTGCTGTTAGCAGAGAAGGGCATCTGCCGATTATTCTGTCAATGTTACATACTCAGCGATTAACGCCAGTACCAGCCATAATCTTGAGTACCATCCTATCAATTATATTTATCATCCCAACTACATTATTAATGCTGACAAATTATTCTGGCTTTATCTCGTGGCTCCTCATTGGACTTACCTGTGTCAGTCTAATCGTGCTTAGATTCAAAGAGCCCCATCTACTTAGACCTTATAAGGTAAGTAAAAAGTAGAACTACAATCTAATATCATTTCCAGTGAGTTTTTTTTTAACCAGATCAACATTAGAGTGCAATTCACTGATATTTCTGCCAAGGTGCATTAAATCACCTCTTCCTTTGACAAACAACATGAATTCAGAAACATTTCTAGACAATAAACCAGAACTCAGTTCAAAGATTTGAAGACTCTTTTGGCAACAGCTATACACTAATCATAATATCTGTTATAAGCATGAAATGGTAATTCACCATCAATGGTAAGTCAAAGTATCCAACTCAAAGTCCAAAAGGATTGCACAAGTTAAATAGCAGACCAGTTGAAACAAATAACTTCACCTTTATAAATAAATATCGTACATCATGAAGAACAGATTACACAGTATGTTAACCACACATTTGCTCTATATCGTGTATATAAATCTTACTTGCATTTGATACAGTATCCCTTATCATTTCATCGGTGCATCTTAAAGCACTTCATAGAATTTTACAGTAAAGTTTAGTGACTGCGTATTTGTAGGCAAACGAGCAAACAGTTTGCTTTCTTCCACCTCTGACGCATCGCCCGTCTCTGCAAATACCTCTCTCTGAAGGCCGCTGAAACACTGGTCCATGCCTTTGCGCCTCTCGGCTGGACTACTCTAATGCCCTCCTCATCGGTCTCCCATCCACCACCATCCATAAAATCCAAATCATCCAAAACTCTGCCACCTGCATTCGCACCCGCACCAAACTACACCACCCGATTACCCCAGGCCTTGCCAGATTGCACTGGCAGAGAGGATCGATTTCAAGATCCTCACCCTTGTATTCTAATCCCTCCACTACCTCTCTGACCTCCTCTCTCCTCAAAACGGTAACCGTTGCCTTTGTTCCTCCGGGTTTGGCCTCCTCCTTGTCCCCCAAGTCCTCCGCTCCACCCTCAGCGGCTGTGCCTTCAGCCACTATGCCCTGAGGCTCTGGAATTCCCTTTTCACTCCTTTTGTCTCGCCCCTTCTCTTCCTACTTTCAGGTCTCTGCTGAATACCTTTCTTTTCGACCGCGCCTTTGGTCACCTTTCTCCCCCTCCCCCTGGCTCGGGCCCGGGATTCATTACTGTGAAGCGCTCTGAGACGTCGTCTGACGTGGAGGGCGCTATATAAATCCAAGTTGTTGTTGTTGTTGTTTGCACATGGGAAAGTCCGACAAACAGCCATGAAACAAATGACCAATTTTATTTGGGGGATTGTTGGTCAGCACACCGGGAGAAACTCCCTTCTCTTTTTGAATAGTGCCATGAGATCTTTAACATCCACCTGAACGGGCAGATGTGACCTTGAATTAGTGTCTCATCTGAAGGACGCACCTCGACAATGTAAAACACCCCCAGCGCTGCACTGGAATGGGGCTTGAACATATAGCCTTTGACTCAGAGGTGAGAGTGCTACTAACTGAGATAGACTGACATCTAACTCACATATTTATCACACATACCAACATTAAAGAGATTGATCTTGATATTTCATTGAAATGTATAGTTTTGATTTAAAACAAGTACATTTTAAATCCTCACATCACACTCTTTTTATCATTTTTTCTATGTCTCCTTCGGTATCATGTCTTCCTGCTCCTGTACAGCATTTGCAGTGTTCCTCAGGACTCTATCATTGGGCCTCATTTGTTCACACAAATCAGATGTGAGCAGTCAGTGAATTTAAACTGCTCACATTCAGTGGCTACAGTCAGTGATTTTTAGAGTTGCTGTCCTGTATAAATTTCTTTTCTCTTGTTTTTTTCAATGAACCCATCCTACTCTCTCTCTCTCTCTCTCAACTTTTATTAATCTCTTTATTTGAGGGAACAGCATTTTGACCTTTCCTGACTCCTCACAAGTATCAAGCAGACTAAACTGTTTGAGGGCTTTAAGATTAGCCAGTAAGTCATCTCCCTGTTTGGTCTGGAGACATATCGGTGATACACAAGGATCCATACGTTGCTCAATCAGTTGTCTCATTGCTTTTAACTCCTTCTGTAATCTTTCAAATTCAGAAGTACCATTTGTCCCAATCTTTCTTCCAAATTTGACTCTTTAGAACCTTTCTTAGTTTCACCTTTGCAATCCTTCGTTATTGGTGGTTTTGTCATTGGATTTGAGTTTATCCCTTTACCTTTGCCCCTTCTTTTACCTGCAGAATTAATTTGTCCTGTCTTGTCTTTTAAACCTTGCAGTGAACCCTTGTTCTTCTGCACTTTTTCAGTTTTTTTCCTCCTCTAAGGCTACTACTTGTGCCTTAAGTCGGTCCACTTCTTCATCTTTCTCACGTTTAATTCTATCAATTTCTTTTCTTGCTTCATCTCGTTCTGAGTTAAACTTCTCAGATTCATGTTTAGCTTCTTCTAACATCTCTCTTTTACAGTTAAGTTGTTCCTCCAACTGCAGTACTTTTTTATGACACTTTATATGTCACACAGGATCCCTCTATCTAGATTCCCTGGCAATAGCTGCCTGAGTTTTTACAGTAGCTTTTAAGGATAAGGAACTGGAGGTTTTACTGATTTGAGCACTGCATCCAGTCACCTGCTGGAGGGTTAATAATGCAATCAATCTCCCAATTTTTGGTCCATGGGTAAAGGTTTCGAGGTGATATGGGGGAAATTTCCAATTTGGTTAGACCCCAGTTGTGGCTCGCTCAAACAATCACAAGCAAAGTGCCCTCTACCCCCATTCAGCGGGCTTCCTCCCATATTATAGCCAAGATCTTGGCCGTGTCCATCTCCCCTCAGAGCATAATAACCTCGGCCACCACCGCAGTTATTACGTCTGTAAGGTCTATTCTGTCCGCGCCAGCTACCGCCTTTGCCATAGTTATTCCCAGGACCCTGACCTCCTAGTTCGTACACACGTTCAACTTTAATTTGGGGTTTGACTTCAGTAACTGTTACCTTGTAGTAGGCTTGTTCTGCTTTAGTCAGAATTTCATCCCATTCGGATCGATGACTGACAGCTACTCCTAATGCGGTTTTAGTATGAGGAAGTAATTTCTGATGGTATTGTTGTTTATACTCGGGGGAGTCACGGATGGCAGCGACGTCCAGTACCCCGCTTGAGTATAACAATATAGTTCTGTTAAACACATATGATAAGTCAAAGGATTTTCATGTTTGCCTTGTTCAGTTTTGAGTAACTCACTATGGGCATCCCATATTGTCCCGATGCCCAATGCCCGCTGAATTGCCCCTAGGAAATCAGCCGAATTGACATTAACAGCATATTGTGTGATAGGACTGTGACCTTTAACTTCTGGATTTAAAGATGCAACTAATATTTGTTTGAAATCTTAATCCTCCAGATTTTGCTGGTAGGACATAAAGGCGTTCCATTGACTAATGAAAGTAATGGGTTTGGTTTTAGGAGTAATGTGAACACTAATTCTTTAACAAAAGCATCTCGCTCTATAACCATTATGGGTCGATGAGAGACCGTGGTGTTCAGTAGCGCTCCTTCTGCATCTGCATCGCCTGCTGCTGCTGCTGTGCGGGACATCTACAAGTTGTCACCATTGCTATTTGGACAGAATTTGATTGGTCAGGGGATCCATAGCCCTCCTCCCGTTTGTAATGGGCTGCCTCATTCTCCAAATTATCTCAGTCTGGTTCGGAATCATCACAGGGCTGATACCCTTCTCCTGGCGACACTGCCTGTCATAGCGCAATGCCGTCCTACTTGAGTCTTCAAGTTCTGAATCACCCGCCTACACTGCGTGTGATTGATCGGTCCAGTCTGCGCAGTTTTTAGATTGTATCGGAGCGCCCCTCGCACATCCGTCAGCTGCCAGTTTAATTCTGTAACCTCCGTTTGTAGCCTGTTTACCAGCTGCTTACGCTGGTCATATTCTGCTTTCTTTGCATAGATCGGATTCACTATGCCCTGTTGGTTATCCACCATAGCTCCCAACTCACATATCCGACACAAATGATTGTCCTCTCTTTCCTTTAATCCAGCCATTTCCACCTTGTTTCTGTCTCTTTCCGCATAGAGCTGTACCTTTCGATCAGAAGACTCCTTTTTCTTTATCAGCCAAATCCTTTTTCAACTGCTCTATTTGTTCATTAGAATCCCTTTTTAGCTGTTTGATCTATTTTTTCCTATTGTTTGGAGTTGCAGACAACCCTTGTATCTAATGCTGCATTCTTGGTGGTGCTGTCTTTTTGTTGGGAAAAATGAATCCCAGGTTCGATCAACAGACTCGGCAAATACCAAATATGGCGTGACATACTTTTGAATGCTTTATTTCGATACACAACAGGTAATATGTTGTTTCGCCCACAAATATACAGTCAATTCACTTTACAGCATATTCTGCAAAGCGCTTTGAGATGTCTAGAAAACGTGAAAAGCGCTATATCAAAAGCAAGGATTATTATTATTAATATCAATCATACAATACAAAGTAAATGATCCAATAAGCAATACTAGAATACAATGATTATATCAAAGGATAACAATTATACTTGACTATATTATATTAAAACCACATTGGTTACATGCAGTTAAGAAATACTCATACTAACATTTAAAGGAGTCAGCAGCAGCAGTTCTTCAACTTCCCTTTCTTGAGCCCGAGCAGCTTAGTGATAGACTCACAAACGTATGGTGTCCCTCTGATCTCTACTCCCGGACTGACTATCTCCCTCTCTTGAGTCGTCCTGTTCTTCTAACTGTTCTCACCTAGAGGTGGGCTAGTTATACCCTTTTCCAAGTGTCCTTTTCTTAGGGCCCCTCTAACCACTTCTGATACTGTCACGTACTCAGGTTAATCAATCATTTGGCTTGGTGCCAGCTTAACAAGACTGTCTAATAAATATAAAGTCCTGGATTACCTTTAACTTATGTGTCAGGCTGGCTCAGTTGGTGGCACTCTTGTCTCTGAATCAAAAGTCTGTGAGTTCAAGCCCCATGTCAGGATTTAGATCTCATATGGTCTAAGAGGCGCTCCAAGGCAGTGCTGGAGGTGCGCTGCATTGTTGGACGTATGGTCCTTCAGATCAGATGTTAAACTGAGGTCCCGTGTACCTGTTCGGAACCCATGGTATTATTCAAAAATGGAAGGGAGTTTTCTGGCCAATAAGACCCTGAATAAAATTGGTCATATCACTGTGTGGTTGTAGAAAAACGCTGTAGCTAAATTGGCTGCCATGTTCGTCCACAAACACAGTCACTGCACTTTGCCGTGTGTCACGTGAAGTGCTTTGAGGCAGCCTCCTGACATGAAAAGTACTATTCCAAATGTAAGGATTATTATTAACTTCCTTGAACTGAATGTCCACAAAACCAAAGCCATCATGCTCAGTTCGCTTTGATAACTCCAGATGTGTACAATCTTCAACTATAGCTTTTCATCTTATGCTCAATAAACATGTAAGTGCTCCAAAACACTGCCCCAAGAGAAGGATGCTATACAAATGCCAAGTTGTTGTTGTTGTAAAGCAGTGATGTGTGCACCCAGGAGTTATGAACCAGTTATCTTAACATCGGCACTGCAGAAAATACACAAGTGCATTTTAAAGGATCAAGAGCAGAGACCATAAAGAAAAACATAAATTCAAGACAAGACATTCAACTTTACAAATCTGCTAGAGGTCTTTGAAATGCTAAGAAGGTAGTTTGATCAATGGGTATAATCAAGCTGGATTGAAGAAGGTGTTTGATAAAATTCAATTTGTGAGATGTATCAAAAAAAGATTAACACTCATTGGCTTAATGCCAGATTAGCTAATGAGATTGAAACTGTCTGTTTGGAATAACAAACAGAGGTGATGATATATGTAAAGGCTGTGGGAGGGAGCCAGTGACTATTGGAGCTCCAGTAGAGCTCCAGTAGCCAGGGCCACAGGAATTCATGCTTTCAAGGAGCTATTCAGATAGTTTCACAGGTATCATTTCTGAACGTACATGAAATGTTTCCCCTGTTTTTTCTGCTTCAGTTGCAAACCACCAAATGAAAGTATGATTATTTATTGATTTACAAAGCTTTTGTGATTTTGCAAAAGGTCACTTGCATCTCAATACATTTTGCAAACTGTTGTTTGCAACGTTCATGCCTAATAGCTGAGCATATCATTAAGTACAGAGCTGAGTAGACAAAAGCATTTGTGAATGATTCAAAAGAGGTCACATTTGAGAAAATCTGTGTTTCTGTTGTCCTAAGATTCACAGCAAATCTCATTTCATTATAATGCAATGAAGACTAAGCATCTTTTTTCCTCTATAAAGCTCTCTTTTGGTGTCAAGCTTTGCCACTGTTAAGTGCTCTGAGACACTACCCCACATGAAGCGCCTGATATAAATGCCAATTATTGTTGAATAAACAAGGCAAACAGGATGCTGGGCTTTATTGCTAAATCAATTGAGTTTCGATCCCCAGGTGTCATTCTCAGGTTGTAAAGTGCTCTGGTCAGACCACACGTTTAGTATTGTGTGCAGTTCTGATCACCACAACATAAGAGGGCTGTTTCGGCCATTGAGGCAATACAGAGGAGAGCCACGATGATAATCCTCAGTGTTAGAAGAATGGGCTGTGAGCAACAACTACAGACTGAAAGAAGACAATGCAGAGGGAACCTCATAAAGGTGCACAACATTTTAAATGGGATTAAAAAAGTAAACCCAGATCAATATTTTAGGATGCTTCATGATAGTAGAACAAGAGGACATAGGTTTAGAATTGTAAAGAGCATTTTAAAGACAGATACCAGAAAGTTTTTCTTTATGTAGAGGGTAATAACATAACATAACATAACATGTAGGAGCAGGAGTAGGCCGTTCAGCCCTTCGAGCCTGCCCCGCCATTCAATCATGGCTGATCTTCTAATCTAACTCCAGCTAATAACCTAATCCCCATATCCCTTAATCCTTTTTGCAATAAGAAATCTATCTATCTCAGTCTTGAATATGTTCAGGGACTGAGCATCAACAGCCCTTTAGGGTAATAATAATAATAATCCTTGCATTTGATATAGCGCTTTTCACGTCTTCTAGACGTCCCAAAGCGCTTCACAGAATATACTGTAAAGTGAATTGACTGTATATTTGTGAGCGAACGCAGCAGCCAATTGCGCACAGCAGTGTCCCACAAACAGTCATGGATTGAAAATGACCAATTTATTATTGTTTTATTTTGGAGGGATTATTATTAGACGTGTGGAGTAAGGAAACTTGCCCAAGGTTTCACCCTCTGCCTGGAATTGAACTCAGGTCTCTCACTTGCAAAGCGAGTGCTCTAACCACTGAGCTACAGGACTCCATACATTCACCACCCTTTGAGTGAAGAAGTTCTTCCTCAACTCAGTGTGAAAGGGCTGGCCTCTGATTTTAAGGTTGTGACCCCTGGTTTTAGTTTCTCCAACAAGGGGAAACAATCTCCCACTATCTACTCTATCATGCCCTTTGATGATCTTATAGGTTTCTATAAGATCCCCTCTAATTATTTTATATTCTAGAGAATATAGGCCCAAATTGGTCAGCCTATCCTCATAACTCAACCCCTTCATCCCTGGTGCTAACCTAGTAAATCTACGCTACACCCCTTCCAAGGCAAGTACATCCTTCCTTAAATAAGGAGACCAAAACTGCACACAGTATTCCAGGTGTGGTCTCACCAGGGCCCTATACAGTTGCAGCAAGACTTCCCTACTCTTATACTCTAATCCTTTCATAATGAATGCTAATATACCGTTCGCCTTCCTAATTGCTGCTGCACCTGCAGACTAACTTTCTGTGATTGGTGTACAAGGACACCCAAGTCCCTCTGGACGCTAACACATTCCAATCTCTCCCCTTCTAAAAATTAACCCGCTCTACTGTTTTTTCTACCTCGGTGGATGACTTTGCACTTCCCTACATTATACTTCATCTGCCACCTACCCGCCCAATCATCTAACCTATCTATGTCTCGCTGCACTTTTTTAATGTCATCCTCTGTATTGACACTTCTTCCCAGTTTTATGTCATCCACAAATTTAGATATATTAACTTTGATGTCCTCATCTAGATCGTTGATGTAGATGGTAAATAGCTGACACCCAAGGACTGATCCTTGTGGCACTCCACTAGTCACATCCCGCCAATCTGAAAAGGACCCGTTTATCCCTACTCTTTGTTTCCTACCCGTTAACCATTCCCCAATCCACGTTAATATGCTCCCCCCAGTTAATCAATAACTGGAACAAGTTGCCAGAAAAGGTGATAGAGTCCAGGACACTGGACACATTTAAAAAGAAGCTTGATGCAGTGATTGAGGGACAGTAGGAGGATGTTCTGGTCGGGTGAGATTGGATGGGTCTTCTTCATCCAGACCAATCTTGCGATCTTATTTATCTGGTGACACTTTGCACTTCAGGACCTCCTGCTTATCCAAATGGCCGTCCTCGCTTTCTTCTATTTTTTGAAAATGAAAAGCAACACACAGCTCGAGATCAACTTTGAAGCCAGAATCCCAGTCAACAGCTAATAGTCACCAATTACACACAACAATAATTCATAAGGTCTTCAGATAATCTAATAAATTATTATATGCTTCAGATAAGGCATTTAAACTGAGATCACATCTACATGTTCAGGTGGATGTTAAAGATAACATGGCTGTATTCAAAATGAAAAAGTAGTTTCTCACAATATCCTGGATAGTAACCCCCCAGATAACATTCGTCACTCAATTTTTGGCCTGGTGAGACATTGCTGTGCACAAATTAGCTGCTGGGATCGCCCACAAAATGCAAGGTCACTAGATTTTACAGTAAATCCTATGATGTACGTATGAGACAGTTTGACGATGTGATAAGACTTAAGGTTTATATAAGGATAATTGACATCATTATTATAAGAAACAGGCAAGAATCCCAGAGGAAGTCACCATCTTACATTTAATCACATAAATCTCAGCATCACCAAAAGTTATTTTAACAGAGATGGGAGAGTGCAAGCAACTTCAGGCAAAAATCATTAACTTTTAATAACCAAAGTCAATTTTATAATTAAAGCACAAGTGCAAATATTGATTCCAGATATGATCTGATAAAGGAGTCAGAGACATAATAAATGAGTTTTGATATAGTGCTTTATGCCAGCAGTAAAATGAGATTTTGTTTTCACAGGTATTCTTACCAGTTCCCTTTCTGATGGTCGCAGCCAGTGTGGTGTTTGTTGTGTCTCCGCTGGTGCAATCTCCCAGGATTGAATATATCTATGTGCTGATCTTTATAATAGGAGGTCTTGTCTTCTACTTCCCATTTGTACATTTCAAATTACATTTTAAATGCTTTGACACAATCACATGTTTTTTACAGCTCTTTTTGGAAGCCTCTCCCCCTGATGTGCTCAAAGACATGAAGACCCAATAATATCTTGTCCCTGTAAACTGTACTCGGTCATTTTAAAAGCTGATATCAACATGTCGCTTGTGAAAATGTAAACTGCTATCCTCTTACAAGTGTTACTGTGCAACATTACTTTGTCGAAGACTTTATGCTTCCATGGTCTCATTGACTCCTTTCTCTTTCTGGTTCATGTTGCTATGACTTTCTCCACGTCAAGATTCAATGGGAATTCAAGACTCCCAGTAACTGAGGCTAAACACGAGTAACATATTGTGGTATTGAGCTATTCATTCTTTACTTTATACTTTATTCAGTCTATGAGTAAGTAAAACTCAAAGATTTTGATTAAATAAACAACCAGTAGAGGAATACTCTGGATCTGGAATAAGAACATTCTTTGAACCGCTCTAATTAAAATTTTAAAGAGTTAATTTGCCTGACTTTTACGTCACAGTAATATTTTATTCTTCCCACTGGCTTCAATTGGGGCTTCAGTGTTGCCTTTGGAGTACACCAACACTATGAAGATGATGCTGAGTAAAGTGGGGAGCACTGATATGCCAAACATTGAAGCAATGACACCAGATGTGACGGTGTTGAAGCAATTTGGAAGTCAGGAAAAGAAAACAATGGGGTCTACAATGAGCTCATCACCAAAAATAGCAATCGTTTTACGACCCATGAAATCCCATTATAGACAGTAAATAGATTGTTGTTTTTCATACTCAGTTCATGTTTGGCCCCATTTATTGTCAATTTCGACCAGTGTCCTGGCCACCAATCCGATAATAAAATTACTTATTCACGTCATGGGTATTTGTGGGACACTGGTGTGCACGAATTGGCTACCAGGTTAGCCCACAAGACACACACTTACAGTGCATTTAACTGTATATCCTGTGAAATGCTTTGGATATCCTCCTGATATGAAAGGTGCTATGTGAAATGTAAGGATTATTGTTACTATTACTTAGTCTGTGGTTGAGGTAGTCAGACAGAAAATAAAAACAGATAAGTAGAAAAGGACGTCTGGCAATCGTGTAAATTGTGCTCAAGGTCACAAATATACTTTGTGTAAATCTGAGTGTGTAAGGAATTAAAAGGTCTGGGCACATCTACAATACATACAAGTGCGATATTATATAATAGATTCAACGCAAATTGGTTAAGAAACATTGCAATTTTCTTTGATAATGTTTGGGTGTGATCATCTCTCCCCCACCCCCTTCCTGACATTACATAAGCCTGTGCCTGTATAATTGACAACAATACAAGTTGATTTAATAATAATAATCCTTGCATTTGATATAGCGCTTTTCACGTCGGGTGGACATCCCAAAGCGCTTCACAGAACACACTGTATAGTGAATTGACTGCATATTTGTGGACGAACGCGGCAGCCAATTGCGCACAGCAATGTCCCACAAACAGTCGTAGATTGAAAATGACCAATTTATTATTGTTTTTTGTTTTGGAGGGATTATTATTAGGTGTGTGGAGTAAGGAAACTTGCCCAAGGTTTCGCCCTGACCTGCCTGGAATTGAACTCAGGTCTCTCGAGTGCTCTAACCACTGAGCTACAGGACTCAAAGATTTGTCTCAAAGGCCTTAGTTCCAGCTGATCACTTGATCACGGCTACTATTAATGCTTCCGACCATAGAGAATGGCATTTCAGTGATGCTCCACACAATATCAGTCAAACTCAATCGATGAAGCAGCAATTAAATGCCACACTCCATGATCAAAATGGCCGGTGGCAGTGCTGAACTCTTGAGGCAATGCACTGTGCTAAAGTGGTGGTGATGTGGGGGTGCTCTTACCCAATACCCAATGGACAGAGGGGCAAACACCATGGATTCTTCCACTATCCATCTGTTCACTCTGCAGGTCAATGTCCTAAACCGTAGGCTGGTCCTAGCAGGACAAACAACAGGAGCTTGCCAGACAGGGCTTTCAATGGCAAGCTATGTAGTTTTAGCTGATTAGACTTCAACAGTGTCCCAACACAGAGGGAAAACACAGAAAACATCGGAAAAAGTCTATGTGTAAGGTGACCTACCTATATAGAACTCTCAGTCTAATTTGGATACTCTTAAGTATGATTTTTGTGTGTGTCAGAGACTCAGTTAACCAAATAAAAAAACAAATAAAAATCATGGTTATTCTGTGATTCACATTCCTTTTGTTGCATTATTATATATGTATTTCAGTGCAGCTGAATTTGATGTCTACATCAATGCCACTTCAATGGGTTAACAATGAGGAGGAAAATAGCCTATATAGGTGTTTTCCAATAAATGTAACTATAACTTGATCAACCTCTATATTAATATGATAATGGTCATGCAGCAAAGTAAGATTGGTCATTGTTTCTTCACTCATTACATTTTTCAATTATGTTTTGGCTCTCATCTATGCAGACTGACATTTTTCGGACTCCCAACTAGTAACTGGCACATCACATCCCAACTAGTAACTTGCAAATCACATCCGATTCGAACAATAATATAAATTTGGAAATAAGTCTTTGTCACATGCTTTGAGTGAATTGCATACATTTATTAGCAACTGACTTCTTTACTTCCAAGGTCTTGTCCACAAAAACATTTCATTTTTAAGACTGCTGAAACCAGGCACATCTGATTTGTAGGTGGGTTAACTCTTAAAAAGCACACCTGACTATATGCAGACCAGACTATAAGAACTTTAGTGGAGATTCTGGCATTCAAAAGGTCAAAAAAACCATACTGAATCAAGCTGTAATCTGGTTAAAACTTTAGAAAAATGACTAACAAGTCAATCAAGGTAGAGAATAGTTTGGGAATGATTTTTGATTATATCAATTCTGTTTGTTAAAGCGGGTAAAGGATATTTGATGATAGAAAAATTAGAGCCAAGGGTGTAGAGAATTTTCTTCCCTTAGAGTTTGTTTGGAGCATAGGGTAACTCAAGAGAGAAGTCAAACGCCATCCAAGTTATAATATGGATTGGTTTATTCAAGCCCAAACATCATTTTATACAGAAGTAAAGGTTCTTACGACTATGGAGTTTAACTCTGGGCTGACAGGTGTTCAGGTCCTGTAGCTCAGTGGTTAGAGCACTCGCTTTGCAAGCGAGAGACCTGAGTTCAATTCCAGGCAGGTCAGGGCGAAACCTTGGGCAAGTTTCCTTACTCCACACGCCTAATAATAATCCCTCCAAAACAAAAAAACAATAATAAATTGGTCATTTTCAATCTACGACTGTTTGTGGGAAATTGCTGTGTCCAATTGGCTGCCGTGTTCGTCCACAAATGTACAGTCAATTCACTTTACAGTGTGTTCTGTGAAGCGCTTTGGGACGTCCTCCCAACGTGAAAAGCGCTATATCAAATGCAAGGATTATTATTATTATTATTATTGCCAGGTAGAGATGGTGACCGTGGCTATTTTAGCGTGGTATCAAATCTATGTTGACAGACAATCTTTCTCCTTCTTGTGTCTGTGTTGAACCATGGATCTGGCTCTCCTGCTAGTTAGCTCAAAGCCATGATTCTTATAGTCCTCTAATCTTAACTGAACCATTGTCCAGCCAACTCCATCTGATTCCTGCAAGATGTTTGCTTCTCAATTCTGCTGTAGTTGCACTTCTGTAAGGATTTGTTTTCAGTGTAATTTAGTCAGGTTATGTCTTGTTACTTGACCTTACACAATGAGTAAAAGTATGACCAGTTTGGCCATTGATGTCTCGTTATTTGATCTTTCCTTACAAGGGATTCTTTTTCTAACATCCAGTGAAGATTTTCATGCTCTACTTCAGTGGTGCCAGTGCAAATCCATTGCTTCACGCATGGATACCTCTCTCTGTTCAAAATTTGTAACTAAATGATACATTATGCGTAAATAGAAAAGGAAGCACAGTGGAACGTGATGTAATGTTCAGCCTGGACCTTACCTTAGACTCTTGACAGAATATATAAGCTCGTTGCAACCCAGTGACCTGACTGGTAGAGCAGTCAACCGATGAAGCACTTGCACTTCAAAAGAGAATGGCCCTGGTGTCCTGATCAACAATTCCCCCTGGTAAAATTGATCATTCACTTGACTGTGAAACATTTAACTGACTTATTAACAAAATGTGGCAGAGTGGAGGATTAAGAGACAAAAATACCTTCTACAGTTTAACTTCAGTCAGTTGAATCTGCTATAAGTTGAGAGGTGAGAACGTGGTATTCCTGATGACAGACTTATTTGATGGATATGAGATCTGACTAGGGACGGAGCAACAGCAAAATATGGATGTGAAAGTCAATCAAGGAAACGGAATTAGAGGAAAGCACAAAGATGTACATCTAAAGCGGACAATTGGGTATTTCAGTGGAGTTAATTTTATAACAGGTACAATTATAGGATCTGGAATCTTTGTTTCTCTGGGAGGGGTCCTGAGATATTCCCAGTTGAATGTTGGAGTGGCATTAATGATATGGTTGGGGTGTGGAATCCTCTCCACACTGGGTGTTATGCTGTGTTAGGGGCAGCATTGCCTTCATCTGGAGGGGAATATTTCTATTTGAAGAGAGCGTTAGGCTCTATCCCTGCTTTCCTCTTCGCCTGGATGACTGTCATCTTTACCGAACCAGCTACTGTTGCGGCCAAAGCCTTTGCTGAATATGTTGTCCAACCTTTCTACTCTGGCTGTCCACCTCCTGAACAAGTCAAGAAGATTGTGGCAGCAACTACAATCCTGGTCCTGGGTATCTTGAACTGCCTGAGTGTGAGGTGGGCCACAAGGGTACAGAACATATTCACAGTGTTAAAAATACTGGCACTGACTATCATCAGCCTTGCAGGAGTAGTTCTTATTGCAATGGGAAGAACAGAGAACCTGACCAACGCTTTCAGTGGAGACATTCCCAGTGTGTCTCAGATTGGAGAAGCCTTTTATCAAGGACTCTGGGCCTATGGAGGCTGGAATACAGTCAATTATCTTTCAGGTAAGGGAAGAATTGTAATTGACAGTGGAATGCTTTCAGTATTGTCCTAAGGTCAGAATGGATGCTTAGTGTAACAAAATACTATCACGGTGTACTAATAGAATCTAATACCACAAAATATTCATATGAAATTTGAATTGATCTATGTTTAATAGATTATCATAATACTCAAAGTGGAGGTGTGAGGATGATAGGCTTCAGAAGAGGATCATTTTGTAACTCTCCAATCAACATTTTGGAATCAGTGTACACATCAAACACAATATAGTGTCATAGAATATAGAATATTTGATATAGGCCTTTCAGGAGGACATCTTAATACACTTCACAGGATGGGTCAGCCTGGCTTAGTTTCATTCTCTCGCCTATGAGTCAGAAGGTTGTGGGTTCATAAATT